GTAGCGCTTTCCGTTCCTGGTGCAACCGACGAAGTTCCTCGAGACTACAGACAAATTAGTTGGGAGATGGAACGAAGAATCATGAACGACTTACCCTGCTTTTCGGGCTTTTTGATACTCGATCTTCTCCTTCCGGAACTCGGTCATCTGGTTACTGCATTCTTCCAAGTAGTTGCGGATGGCCTTGGTCTCAAGACTGAGCATGCAAATAATCTCAAGCGCCTTTATGCGGAGGTTCAGATTCAGATCAGTATACTGTGTCTGAACAGTCTCCTGGGAAGGATCTTCATCCAAGGGGGCGAGGTGTTTGAGAATTTCATTGCAGTCTTTCTCCAGGCGGGGCCGTCCTGACAGCCGGTGCAAAAGTCCGACCATAATCATTTCCCATCCACCATTACGGAAATCCCGCTTCCTAAGACGATCAATCCAGCTGTAATCTGCGAAAAGCTCCGCGGCACGGTGAACCTGCACTTCCACCGAGTTGGAGCGGCTGCCGTTCGCTTCTGTCTTCAGGTTTTCTGCTTCTGCCTTGGCAAGGCTGCTGCGCGTGGTCATCCTTGTAACAACTGGTTCTGGCTCCGGGCTTGTTTCCTCTTCCTCGTCGCCCTCTTCCTCGGACTCATCTGATTCCTCATCCGGGAGTTCAGGAAGCGATATTTGAATGGCTCCTTCTTCGTCCTTCTCCGCGTTTACCAATTTTTTCAAAATAGCACAGTGTATTTCCACGAACAGCTCACTGTCCATTTCCTCGGACGAGAAGCGCATTGCCTGGAGAAAGTCGTCAAATGTGAATGAGTCTAACTCGAAGACCTCGCAGTAGACGTTGAGGGTGTTCCAGGTCTCTAAAAGCAACCCAACGGAAGGCTTCTCGACATCGTCCTGCAGCAAGTCCTCGTCGTCGGCCTCGTCGGTCTCATCTGGTCGCAGGAACTTGAGGGAGGGGCGCCGCCTCTTCTTTTCGCGATCTGGTGCAATGTCGAGATCTTCAATGGGATATTTAATCGGGGGAGGGGATGGCGGACGAGACTCATTTTTGACGACGACGGCCGGAACCACTTGGGATTTCTTCTCAGCTTCCTCCTTTTTGGACGGACGACCAGAGCCAGGGCCTTTGCTGCCGACAACAAAAGACGGGTTGCCATTCAGCGATCGCTGGTACTCAAGGAACTGTGCCTCTTTCGAGCGAGCCAAATCGTTTTGCGAGGGTTTCGATTTCTGTCCCTTGACCGCGGGTTTTAATTCGGGTAACTGCTGAGAAGCGAAAAACCCAAAGTAACCATCTTGGTCGGCCTTCTTCATCGCCTTCTTTTCCGCGACCTTCGCGCCATATTGCAAATGTTTCGGTACCTCCGTGGAAATCCGAAACTCTTCGGCAATGGACGGTTTCACTAACCAAGGCGCACCATTCCATGACTCCCTGTTGACATTATTTTTGATGAAGGCACGCAGCATTTGTTTGGTGAATGTCTTCCGGTCTCGGGTGATATGTTGCTGGTCTAGCAAGGCTTCTTCGTTGGGGCGGTCCAGGATTTTCACAAGATATGTCGCATAACCGGGGGTTTTAACCGTTCCATCAGGATTCAGCACATCCGCAAAGTTAACCTTGTCTCGAATCATACCATGAAGACGCGTACTATCTTCAAGTAAAATGAGAACCGTCTCTCCAGGGTAGAAATCTTGCTTGAATTCCTGTAATTGTTTAGTCACTTGAATCACACTTCAACATTCGATTGCCCGTCCACTCACTTCATAAACCTCATCCACTGTTATACGGTCAGTCTCGAAATGCAACATATATACAGAAAATTTATCAGACATACCAAGATTATCGACCCGCGATACCGTGGAGAACTGAATCCGGCGCAATATTGGCTCTTTCAAAGCATCGGGGAAAGAGTTGTTGACTTCTCGCGACTCCTCCATCTAGAAGAACCGGTTAGTATTTCGTCGTCTATCACCACAGACCACTCCCACATACTTCACTTCTCAACGCTTCAAAAAATGTCAAGCCTGAGTGACCGGTGATCTCGCAGATGAACCTCCGTTGTTTGTAAAAGTCCATCCGTTGAAGATACGGCTCATAGTTGGTGAAAACCTCGTTGGTCTCCGGGATGACCCAGACCTATACCAATGGTGTAAGCAAATACGCTCTTTGTTTTCCTATCCGGTGTACATGCCTCAGAGCTGTCATCTTCGATAACGGGTCGCGGGAGATATTGGACCGGTTTTCGTTTGAAGAGCACCTGGGGTTTGTTAGCGCCTTCACTGTCTTTGTTCCCCGTCTAGTCGATAAAGGCGTATCTCGTACCATGATTTTAGGGTGTGAACAGCACGCGAATGTTTATCATATATTTATATAGTACCGGCAGGTAAGGGTAGATGTAGGCCCGGGACTGTCTGACTATCAAATAGTTAGTATACAGGTATAGCAATCACAAGCACAGGTATAAAAGCATGACCAGCGATAGAATGGGAAGAGAGAGAAAACTAGAATGTGAGGAAATTGCACATGGGTGCTTGCAGCAAATTGGATATGGAAAAGACCGCAGTCGATGCGCCGCCGGACGTGCAGCTCGGAAGTGAGGGAGGAAAATTGAATGGAAGTTATATTGTTGTAGAGCAGGTGCAGGCGAGAACTGACATGCTCAAAGCCTGAGGGGGGCTGATTTTGACCTTTGTTTGAAATACTTACCCAAAATACGCGTCGTCAATCGCGCCGCACAGGCTTGCGCGGAGTTCGCAGCACGCACGACACGAGAAAAGTGTCCGGGTGAGCGTGTCGGCGCAGGAAGCTTGGAGAGTGGAGACAGTGCGGAGAAAATATCCAAAGGGACGACGGAGTAGTAGTAGATATGGAGGAGGAAGGGCGCACGCGATGATGAAGATGTTTTTGGATGAAGGTTGAGGAAGAAAGAGAAAGCAGAGAGAAAGGAGAAGCGGTTGCCGCACAAGAAGAACAGCAACGGCAGAACCAAGCGGACCCCCATCGGATGAGGATCATTGCGGCAAGTGGTGGGAGGGCCGCCGAGGCACCGTCGCCGTTGATTGGCCCAGACGAGGAGAACTGGACGGCGGGCGGACGGGCTGCCACTAGTCCTCTTTGGGGCTGTCGACTTGTTGACCCTCCCACTCTATCCTCTCTGCTTGTTCCGACTTGCGCTTTTGTCTCGTCCTCGCCTCCCTCCCCCAATCCCCATGGTATTTACCCTCATTCTGCTCGTCACCCTCGCGAGAATTTTTCCATGCCCAGATGGTTCCCCGATTTGCTCTAGAAATATCTTTTTCGTCCGCCAATGCAACCGTCCCATCTGCACTCGCTCCGGGATCTTTGAAGCAGCGTTAGACGAAACATCACAAAGCCACACCAACACACAAAGACACACCATTCTCCACCACATGTGGACTCCCATACTTATTATAACTCTCCACCATTCCAACTCACCCACTCGGAACATTTGTTTGGGCTTTTTACATGTCATCCTTCTCTCTATATAGCTCTCTCGTCTTCGATTCCTCTAGATCTACTAGAACTAAACATCCCAGCTTCAAGACGAGGGAGATGCGTCTGACATCGCTCACGTGTTAAGATCGCCCCCCAATCGCGCTCTTCAATAACTTCAAAGGATATGACCCCTATATGTCATTTATCAAGGAATTTAGAATATTCACCACACCCCCTGCTCATGCGCTCCGTTGCATACTCTTGGTATAGACCAGAAGCGAGGTTTGTTCCAATCCAATCCCTGCATAGTCGCCAGCACTTAACTTGCAGGAATATTTGGGAATTGGTCTGTCTGTCTAATACAGAATACCTTTCGAGGTGTATTACTATCGTACATATTATCTCAGAGTACAATGCGACCTTCATTATTTAGATCGACAATCGATGCCGCATTGAACAACATTAGCCGCGTTTGATATCTTTATTTATGGAGCATGAACTACAACAAAGAACATCATTCGCAAAACACATACGTGTATGTACTCTCATAAGACATATAAGCCGTAATTGCCTGATAACATTTAACTAGATACCTAGCTGCCAGCGAGGCTGGACAAACTTAGCATCAGGTAGTATATCTAGGACCATTGTTCTACTGTTTCACTGGCTCAGTCATTATTAAGAACCAGGTTGAAAGCCCACTGAGACAAGCAAGACAGCATATGCATATATCCATAGCTAAATAGTAATGGCATATATCCCTGACAGCCCATGGTCCAAATTTCCCCAAGGGTCTCGAAGAATTGACTCATGACTATCAGAAATAAAACAAAAAGTACCTACTATTCATCCAGATAGTAGAATTTTAGTGCTCCTGTTGGCTATGTCAATGTGCGACATATAAAACATATCGTTCACACACCTACCTACCTCCTACTAATATGAGAACTTCTGCCTTGGGACCAGAAATATAACACAATAATAAAGAAAGGAACTTTCTAAACATAATATAATTTATTTATATTTATGGAACAAACGGTTAGAAGCCTACTATACCTGTAATTTCTCTTTGTAATATGTGAAAAAACAAAGCACTGCCTAGAAGTTCCAAAATCTGACAGGTCATCCCTAGCAAAATATACTACCACCTATTTGATCCCAAACAACACCCCCACATAACAATTAAATACCTTATAGAACAAGATACACGAAAATAATCAAGTATGAAAAAAAAAAAAGATCACTGTTCTAGAATAAATCCCCGAAATTAATTCAAATTTAAAACAACGTCATTTCCTGGACGAGTGCAGACTTTCTGCAGTGCGACCAGCATCCATGGAATCGATCATGTTAAAGGTTGGCGCTAACCTGATGCAGAACTGATTGGCTGATAACCTTTGCACAGTTGGCTGATCAAGTGGGTCTCCGGCTCCAGAGCACGTGGATGCATTATTATTAAATATCATATGTATTATTACATCACTGCTTGTCTGTGTTACGATTTTTTTCCAAATAGAAGTTGCTGGTCTGAAAGAAGAAATATATCGGATTAATGTTAGGCCGGGTGGCGCAATGGTAGCGCGCTTGTTTTCGGCACAAGAAGTTAGGGGTTCGAGTCCCTTCTCGGTCATTATTTTTTGTGTTAACTATATTCAACCAATGTAATTGATACCAATGGTCTAGTGTTTTTTTGTTGTTGTTATTTTGTGAGCCTGTCGATGGAATCTATATATATATACGGAAGTTTTCTTTTTGTAGTTTTAGTCGAGCCTTTCGGAAACACCTGGTTCCTTACCATGAATTAATTATATATATTAACTATGTATACTCTCGCACCTTATACGTCATCTGCAGCATGAGAAGCAAAATATCAACGAATTAACATGGAGCAGAACTAGGGGAAAGGCATTAAATTAATCTATCTATTGTCTATAAACATCTGTAACTAGGCAGTAAAATAGACCACCATGAATCCTATCCAGCTACCCACGACCCCGAGAGCGGAGTAACTGCTCATAAACATCAAAGGCAGGAATTCATACTGGCCGAGCCCAAATATCAGCTGGTGAATCAGGGAGCAGTATGCAATCAGTGGAATAGCCACGGTGATATACAACAGAGAGAAGCGATCGACAAGGAAGATTCGGGGCCGTTCCGGTACAGGCGCGACGTGGTCGAACACGAACAGAAACAGAACAAGCCACAATATCGTGTAGACAGTTTTAATCGGAAACTCGGCCGCTGTGAAGAGAAGCGGAAAGAGAGAAACGTGCCCAGCAACCGCTAGAGGCCGGAAGGCGCTGAAGTACCGGCGGTCTTTGAGGGCGATCAGGCTGAAAGGAATGATAATCAGTAGGACAGCTTTCTCATGGACATGCCATCCAAATAGAAAGGAGGCGTAACCACAAAGCGTGACTGCGCCAACAAAGGTAGACCAGTCCGGCTGGAGCCAGAGCTTGATGAGGGGGAGCTAGAAGCGGGTTAGTAGTGGACAAAACAAATCATGGTAGGAGTTGCATACCAGTTGGAACAGTAAAGTCAGTGCGAATGTGTGCTCCTTAGTAACTTCTGGAAGGACAGCGAAAGAAGTGTCGCCAACAAGACCACGAGTAACGCTTGCTAGCGCATCCTGGTTGACTATCAAGCCCAGACGGGGGGCAACTAGGGCAATCAGTTCGGCTTCAACATAAACCGTAGCGAAAGCGTACTTACCCTTAATTAAGAGACGGTCCGTGAACGAATACATCGCCCAGATGTTGGGAGCCCAGTAGGCGTGGCATAGGCCTCTCGAAAAAGGGAAGAGTCTATCCTTCAGCTGCCATAGCTGGTCCCAATAGGCGAAGGGGCCGAATGCCACCGCAAACACAGTGATGATACTGAAACCAAGCTTGATAATGTTTCCGAATCTTGGCCGAAACATTGATTTGGGGTCCAGACAATAGGCCCTTAGAAGATACACAAAGTAGGCGAGCGAAAGATAGAGGTATATGTGCTTCATGCATAGCAAAACCGCGAAGATGATGCCACTGTACAGGAGCGTCGACTGCTTTCGGGCTAATACCATGGAAAGAATGAGGGTTCCATACATGAAACCGTTGTACTGGAAATGGATATGGTCGATAATCAGGAGGCCCGGAGACAGCAAAATCGAGAGGCTGGCGATTTGCGCCAGTTGTTTATTTGGCTGAGGCACCGACTTGACAAATCTAGAACCAATTCCGTCAGCCATAGTCAATTGTCACCATGTGATCTAGAGAAAACCCATACCGGCTCAATGCGTAAACCAGAACCAACTCGCTGAGAATGACGGTCGCCCGCTGGAAGTAAATTGTCTGCCACGAATCATACCCCAGGTTCTTGACAACCAGCATTGCGGGGTCGACATAGTGCGCCACCTGTGAAAGGAGCCACTCAAAAGCGGCGAAGAACGGGGGGTAATCAAGAGTCCATTCTGATGTTTTCTAGTAGACCATCCAACGAACTTAGCAAGCAGTCCGCGAGGGGTGATGTGCCAAGCGTACCTCGTAGTACCATTCTTTCACGGGGAGGGAGTGGGTAATCGCAAGCCAGTTCCGATGAACTTCAAAGTCAGTAGATTTGCTATAGTGATTTGTAAGATTCAATATTAGTATATTAGCGGGGCAATTGGGGTGGTGGTTAATAGTAAGGGTAGGTAGTTTTGACCTGGGGGGGTTAGACGTACTATGCGGGGAAGAGAAGAACCTTGAACGCGGTTGCGACGATGGCGCATTGGGCCAGAGATGGATAGAGGTCAGACATGGAAGGCGTAGCGCATTGTGCGCACTAAGAGAGAGAGAGAGAGGGAGAGAGAAGAAATGGAAATTGGAGGGAAATCGAAGCATCGCGAAAGAACGAACAGAAGAAGTTGCGATGATCCGGGGGGAGCTATCGCACGTGACCTGCAGCGCAGCCACTAAACTCGAATCAGGCCAGATATTGTTGTGGTTATTTATCACTAGTCATGGACTTAGCCTCGGACGTTGGAGTCCGCCATTCTGTTGTCCTCTCAAGCCTCGACATTCGCCATCTGGTCGATTTCTCGCCCGCTGCCCTTTCTATTGCCCGTGAGGTCCGTTTCTGTGTGATCGCCATTGTGGTTGGGTGGACCACTTCACGCATTGTCTCTGCGTTCCTGAATCCCCGAGATTCCTCAGAGAAGACACAGTAGTAGTTTGCAAGCCATTTCTACCATTGACCTTTTTTTTTCTTTTTCTTTCTCTTTTTTTATAGGGCTCTCTACAGCTCTCTTCTTGCATAGTTCCGCTGCATTGATCCTTTGTTGATTTTATTATTATTATTTGATCGCCACGAGCCTCCGACTGCATATAAACAATATGAAGATATTGGCGTCTTTCCCATTCCTGACGGCGGTTGCCGCCGCTCAATCAGTTATTGAAAGTGCCAGCTTTGGTTTTGGTCAAACGTACCTCTTCTGTCCCATTTTACACTTGATTCCAGCATTCTGACCCACTACCAGATTATCGCCTAATCGGGATACCATCCCGGGATGGCAAGTTGGGGGAGAAGGACAATCCCCTCAGATTGTACGTCCCACATCGGCAGCTTGAATCTGTTACAAGATATATTAACGCACTTGCCAGCTCTCCAATAAACTTATCTTAACACCCCCGTATCCGGGCAATACAAGAGGCTATGTCTGGTCACAGACGCCGTGAGTTCACAATGAATCTTTGCATCTAACTGGCCGGTATATTGACTGAATATAGCCTGTCTGAGCAAGAATGGACTGCTGAATTCCAGTTCCGTGCATCTGGTATGGAGCGCGGAGGGGGTAACCTCCAGCTCTGGTACGCCAAAGACGGACAGGTCAAGATCGGAACTTCAAGCATATACACCGTCGGCCAGTTCGACGGGTTTGCGCTTGTTGTTGATATGCACGGCGGGAGAGTACGTCCTCCACATCTCCTCATCGGACTCGCTTAATCCCAACTCATCTGACCTTCTCCTAGGGTGGCAGCGTTCGGGGATTTCTCAACGATGGCACAATAGACTACAAGAGCCACACAAGCGTCGACAGTCTCGCTTTCGGCCACTGCGACTACTCTTACCGCAACCTTGGACGCCCCTCGGTGGTCCGTCTCAAGCACACCACCTCGGTCCTCGAAGTGACCGTCGACGACAAGCTATGCTTTACCACAGACAAGGTACGGTCCCGCCAAACCTGGGGAAGCCCCTTCTAATCCACTGCACAAAACTCACACCACGTCTAGGTGTCTCTCCCCGCAGGCAACACTCTCGGTATCACTGCCGCCACTCCCGAGAATCCAGACTCTTTCGAGATCTTCAAATTCGTAGTGCAGTCCACCCAGCCAGGCTCCCAAGGTTCCATCCCTGCTCAGCAGCAACAGCAGCAACAGCAGCAACCACCACCACCAGTCGACGCCGCAGCACAAATCCCAATCCAGGGAAGTAACCAGCCTGCTACGGACGCCCAGTTCGTCGATCTCGCCTCTCGCATCCAGCTCATCTCCCACGCGACCAATAACATCATCCGCGAGATCGGCAACCAAGGCACCAAGAGCGACAGCCGCCAGACAGAACTGGTCCAGAAGCTCGCCACAAAGGAGCAGGTGGCTAACCTCGACACCCGTTTGCAGAAAATGGAACAGACTCTGCAATCTATCCAACGCGATCTTGGGGGCAGAGACTACAGCGGACGCTTCAATCAGCTAGAGAAGACCTTGCGGTCGTCTCATTTGAGCTTGACTGAAAACCTCCAGGGCCATTTCATGGATGGTAAGCTCTCTTCTTCATTCTTCATGGGCAACGTGTATTGTAGTTGCAACTCCGTTAGCTAACTGGTTTTGATAGTCGTGACTTCGTCATCTCCTCGCATGGGCTTTTTCATCTTCCTTGTCATCGCTTTTCAGGTTGTCCTCGCGGTGTCATACGTCATTTACAAGAAGCGTCGCGCGAACATGCCAAAGAAGTTTCTGTAAAGCGACAAAAAAATGGCTTGCCTACCTTTTGCTACGAATCATGTAGTGTCTGCCTGTCTTGTTGAATATGATCATTAGCATGTCATGAGTACTCTGTATAAATTGTTGAGAATCTGGTGTTTCTTCTTGAATTGAATTATCTAATTGTCTTGAGTCTAGAGAAAAAGAAACACATCCGAGGACCTCGTTCATCGTACAAGGAGAAGGAAACCGTAAAACGCCAGTGCGATATGGGAAAGAAATTTTCGTGTCGCCGAGTAAGAAACGCCTAAATCCGAAGAATAATGCCAAAATGCAGGAGGTCGTGAGGCTGAGGGCATCAGACAGGCCAAGGTAGGATCACTAAAATTGAGTGTCCAAAAAGATCTGAAGCACAGTATTGCAGGAAAATTTTTTTCTTTTTCTTTTTCTTCTTTTTTTCTCTTTCGTAGGCGTAAATTCTGTCGCACGCTACTCTTTCTCGGGCTGGACGCCATTAGACGAGACGTCAGCAGGTTGAACATCTGTATCCGTTGGTTTAGGACTAGATTGAACATTTGAAAGGGCTTTTTGCGTGGTGTTTTCGTTCGTCGCCTGATCATTCAGGAGGTTGATGCGTTGTTCAATCAAGTTCTGCAAGGAGCGCAAGGATTCAATTTCAGACTCAGGG